TATCCGAGGCTTCGCCTCGACTAATCTGGACTCGATTCGCGTCGCGCACCTGAAAATGATGGGTGAGTCTCCCAGCGATGACTGCTGTATTCACAAGATCTCAAATTCGAAATCTTATTTAAGTTGGAACAAGCCGTTTACTACTTAGACCTAATTCCTCGTTAGTAGTACTTGAGTTACTTGAACATGAGAAATTGCAATTGCAGGAATGAGAAATCTTTATATATTTGTAAATGGGCTTAGGTGGCTTTGGGTTGCCAACCAGAAAAGGCCGGAACAGCCTGAATGACCTTAGGCAGTTAGGCTTAATATAAAGAGTTGTTTTTTGGGCCCTGATTCTGTCTCGATCTTTGAAGTTTGAACAAACATTTGAAAGTCCAAACTAAATAAAGAGAAGCGTTTTTCTTTTTTTTTTTTAACATATTCCTTTTCTATATATATATAAAATTAAGAATATAATAAATATATTTTTATGTATTTTTTTTATTAAATTCGTTGAATAACTAAAAATTATATTAAATTTAATTAATTTAAAATCATATCAAATTAGATCCTATAAGAAAAAATGTTTTTTTCTCCGTTCACAATATATGAATTCAAATACTTAATTTAAGATGAATTAAATTCATTATGTTTAAACAAATAAATCATTGGTATTTTAAGTTTGTATTAAAAATATAAAAATTTACCTTTAATTTATCAAAAAACATTTTACTGTTAAAATAAAGTAAAATTCCAAACTTAGACCACAAGCTAGCTTTAGAGGTAAGTCCCCTACGCGGCAAAACGGTCATTCTCATCACATTTAATTTCACATACTTTTATGGATAATAAGTAAGCATCTCCTTCTCTTCACCTTCATACGCTCACCGCCGTAACTTTGTCCATCTCACCGCTCGAACTCGCCGCGAAAAAATGGATCTACGGGAAATGATCAGGGACCAAACCGACGTCGCTTTGGCCTTCTCGAAGCACGTCCTCCAAACCGAAGCTAACGACTCGAACCTTGTCTTCTCGCCGCTGTCGATCCATGTGGTGCTGAGCTTGGTCGCCGCGGGGTCGACGGGCCCCACCCTCGACCAGCTGCTCTCTTTTCTCAAGTCAAAGTCCAGCGACCACCTCAACTCCTTCGCCTCCGAGCTTGTCTCTGTGGTTCTCGCCGATGGCAGTGCCACTGGTGGCCCTCGATTGTCGTTTGCCAATGGTGTTTGGGTTGATAAGTCTTTCACACTTAAGAATTCTTTCAAACATGTGGTTGAGAATCTCTACAAGGCAGTGTCTAATCAAGTTGATTTTCAAACCAAGGTATTCTGTTTGTTTTTCTGGTCCTCTTTGATTGGGATTAATTGGTTTTACTTTACAAACTATTCAGCTTGGATGCCCAAATTACCTTACACTTTCTCTCTAAAGAGAAGCATTAAAATCATATAAATTGCATTGAATTGCATTTCAATTTTGCAATATTGATGTGTAGAAGAAATGCTATAGGCTCTTCTCCGATCTTCAGAAATCAGAATGCCACGTTTTGCTTGATAGGGTTACCTCTAGAAGTTGCAAATAAAATTCTAGTACAATGAGGGCCTTTTTTTTTTTTAATGAGGGGTTTCAACTTCTAGTGGAAAGTTGAATTCTTGCCATTTGTACATTGGTATTGTTATTACCACAATTGTTAGAAATATGTGAGGGAACTTGTAATGTCCTGGAATGCCTTTTGTATTACCTTCCCTTTCTTTCTTCTTCCCGCTGAATATTGCAATCCATAAGTGATAAGTCAGTGAGTATTATGTACTTGTTCTATTTGTCTTGATATTGGCAGCCTTTACTTGCTACTTCTCTTTTTTGGGTTTCATCTGATGGGCTATACAAGAGGAGTTAGCCATCCTTTTCCCAAATCCCTGCCCACCCAACTCAAGGTTTGAGCTTGAGATGTCCAACTTTGAATCTCATACTCTTAACTAGTTAACCTGCCCCCTTGGGTGCTTTACTTGCTACTTCTTTAACACTGGTTAAAGTTAAATAGATATGCTAATGGTTTGTTTTTTTCATATTGATGGCATGGTGTCTTTAAAGGCTGTTGAAGTCACTGGAGAAGTGAATTCATGGGC